GGACAGAGGGAAGGAAGGAATGAGGACAGAAAGAAGGAAAGAGGGAGAGAGGGAGGGCTGGCTCACTACCTCCTGCTCTTTCCTGAGCATCTCAAGGGCCTCCTGAAACTTCTTTTCCTTTGCTTCTATTTCAGCACTTGTGGTTTTATTCTGCTCTTCATAAGCCATGGTCACAACTGCCAGGATCAAATTGACCAGATAGAAGGATCCCAGAAAAATGACAAGCACAAAAAAGAGCATGTAAATTTTCCCAGATGCTCTCAAAGTCTGTCAAGGGAAGAAAGACAGAGGGAATTAGCCAACTTCCCCCAGGTCCCTCAGAATCTCTCTCCAAGTCTTAGGTTTATGGAATGCACTTCCATACTTGGATAAAGGAGACACATTATGCAGGGGCCACCCCATTCATAATCCAAGAATTCTAGCTATCTTTCCTCTATCTATGTATGGCCAACTCTGGAGGAAGTCAAGATAAATTCAACTACATCCTGGTCCAGGAGCATGGGGCACCGGGGAGTGAGCAGCAAACCATCCAAAGGAAGGTAGGAGTAGTGTAATGGAGGCAGACTGACCCTAATTGGGGCATTGCCCTCAGGAATACTGGAACCAAGGAATCTCACCAAAAGGATGAGAAAGCATGATGTTGGCTCCCACAGACCTTGGGGGTCTGAACTTGCCAGTCCCTCCTTGAGGCCACTGGAGATTCGTTTTCATTTCTCAGTTCAGACCTGTAATTTCATCAGTCAGTGCCGGCATAGAATCTCTTCCTACCAGTCCTTAAAGCCTTAGACAATTACTGGAGCGTGACAAGATTAAGTGTCTTACCCAGGGTCACGCAGCCAGTGTGTGTCAAAGGCAGGATTGGAATCCAAACTTAGCTCTCTCTCCATTTGCTTTACTGTCTCTCAACTCTCCACAGCCAGCAAACAAACTCGGATTGAGCACCAAACTTGTCACTGAATTCTGCCAATGCAGAAAGGGCCCCAGGGTTCCAATGAACAGGAAAATGACACCAGCTGTTCCTTATGTAAAACCTCCTCTGGGACTGTGTGCTCAAGAAGGTTTTTATCCCCAGGAGTGGTCTTGGTCCTGGCAGAAGATGGTCTGGGAGTGGGGAATCAAACTATGGTAGAAGCTAAGTTTGACTTGGGGTACCTCTCTCACTCCTCCCTCTGGAAACCCTGGATACTCACAATGCTCTGTGCCTGTGTGGGCCCTCATTGGGGTAACCCACAAAAGCCTGCCTTCCTTGGACAGCGCACACTGACTCAGACCTCCCTCTCAACCATCAAAGCCAAAGCCAACTCTCAGAGCTCTCGTTTTCACTGTTGGAAAGGAGCTGATAAACAAATTCATACTAAGGTATTCATGGCTGGAGAAATGAAATGTGTGCTGGACCTGGAGCCATGGATCTTGAGGCTGATCCTTCTCTGTGGATGATTTGAGTGGCTCTGCCACTTACTAAGGGTGGGATCTGGGGCCAATCACTTCATGTTATGGCCTCAGTTTCCTCATCTGTAATTGGGGGAGTTGGATCAGGTGGCGACTGAGGTACCTTCCAGTTCTGAATCTATGACCTCATGATGATTTCATGTGTTACTCATCACAGGGGAATTGACTTTTCAAGAGGGAACAATGCTTAATCCAGCTCCCAACACAGGGCTTGGCACTTGGTACTCGCCTAGTAAATGTTTGTTGAATATCAGATGAATGGAGGAACTTTAGACGTTGTCTGCTAGGAGAGGGTTTCCTGGTGCCCTGTATATACCTACTCACAGTCATAATGACCACCTTCTATATAAAAATGCCAGGGCCAGTCCTGACCCTGCTTCTTGAAGCTTTTAAAAACTTCCCTTGTGCCTGCTAACATCTTTCTTTACTCTTTTTAGTTGGCTCTTATCTACAATTGTCCCATTCAATAACCCAACACTTCTGAGTTTTGTGACTCTGAACAAGTCATTGGGCCTCAGTTTCCTTATCAGTAAAATGGAGCTAATAACACTGGGTTTTGGTGAGAAAAGTGTTTTTAAACCTTAAGCTGTTAATGATGCATGGGCTTTTCTCATTATTACTATAATTATACAATTCTCTAAGCCTCCCCCAATAGGGTAAAATTGTACATAAATAAATGTAAAAATAGATTAGCTGGGTGTCCCCAAAATACTTCATCAGGCACTAAGCTAAGTCAGAACACTTAACTGAATAATAATAATAATAATAATAATAATAATAATAATATATAAATAACACGTATATACTACCTTAAGGTTTGCAAACTGCTTTATCTCACTAATTCTCACAACCCTGGTGGGGTAGATGCTATTATTATCTCCTTTTTACAGATGAGAAAACTGAAGTTGAGAGATTTGTTCCTGGTTGTACTGCCAGTAAATGTCTGAGGCAGGATTTGAACTCAGATCTTCCTGATTCCAAGTCTAGGGCTCTCTCTACTATGCTACCTAGCTATTGTCATAGCATCCTAGATTTAGAACTGAAACACCTTAGAGGCCATCAAGCCTGACCTTCTCTGAAGCTTGTGGAAAGGGAGTAATCTGCCCAGAGTCACACAGGCAATAAACATCAGAGACAGGATTTGAACCCAGATCCCAAGTCAGTGCTCAATATTCTTTTTTGGACCACTTATGTGGGGCATTCTTCCCTTGGATGATCAATATGTGTTCCATTCTGGAGATTAGATTATAAGGTACAATCAATAAAAGGGCAGAAGAAACAAGGACGGTGTGCTGCCCGATGCTGATCTTAACTTGCTGGGATGCCCAGAAAGCCAAATCTCTCCACCTAAGCATGTCAAAGGGCCAGAGACCGAAGAGTCTGCAAAGCCCCGGGGAGAGACCTGCTGGTAGAGCCGCTCCCAGTAATCCTGTGTCATCAGGCGAAACAGAGCCAGGAAAGCCCAGCCAAAGGAGTCGAAACTGGTGTAGTTAAAATCGGGATTGTCTCCTGTCTTTAGGCAGAAATAGCCTTCGGGACAGCTCCTGTGGACAACAACAGGACAGAAGGTGAGACAAGGCAACACCCCCACCCCATGGGGCTTCATTTGAAGGAGCTTTCCCTCTAGATCTCTCCCTAAGGCAATGCCCGTTCTCATTGTTCCTTTCCCAGCCTGTGCTCACAACCTTGGTTCATGCTCATGCTTACTTGTGGTACTGACAATGCTTAAATATGATACTGACAATTGTACTTGGAGCTCCTTTGGCAGCTAGAAACAACAGAGCTTAGCTCCTAGTTGGCAAGAGTAATTTGTAAAAGCAAGAAGCTACTGGAGGACAACCTGGAGTGAACTCCCCCGCTCTGCCTTGTTCCCAGATACTGACTGCTTTCCCTCCCATGCTATCGTTTGCCTCAGGTGCAAAAATTCCTAGCTATGGCTCTGGCCTGGTGGCTTTGAAGTTCTTCATTATTACACTGAGGTCACTGCCCCAAGCAGAGAAGAGGGAAAAGGAATTTACCATGAGCCCTGGACTTTTCTCTTGCTAAGCCTAGGACTGGTGTCACACTCTTCCATTGTCTCTGGGCTCAGGGACGGGAGCCATCAAGAACCAGCTCATAAAGTCCTTTCTGCCATTTTCACCAGGATAAATCCAAATAGAAATTAGAATGGCATTTATATAGTCCTCTAAATTTTACAAAGTGCTTTCCATCTATTATCTCACTTGAGCCTCTCCAAAGTCCTATGAGTTTGGGACTATACAGAGTAAACATCCTCATTTTTAAGACAAGGGAGCTAAGGTTCATAGAGGTTGATTGACTTGCCCATGGTCACACAGCCAATAAATACCAGACACTGGATCTGAATCCAGATCTTCCCAACTCCAAGTGCAGAATTCTCTTCACTATAGTGCCTGACTAGTGCCACCTCAAGGATGTCTTTCCTTGCAGTGAAAAAGTGGGATATGAACATTCAAAGCAGGGCAAGCATCAGCTGATGTGATTTCTTCTGCCCCTACCCTTTAATTAGAAATTTATATTCTGTTTTCACTTGTGACAATGATGACTTGTAGTTATTGACATCCTGAAGAAGTGGTTTTGGCTCATCTATATCTAAAGGAACAGACTTTTAGAGGCAGCAGGGCATGGTGTAGGGCAGACTCCAAAGACTTGGGTTAAAATCCTGCCTCTGATACTTTCAGTGTCCCAGGCAAATCTCTACTAAAAGATTAAGCCACAGAGGATTTGCTGCCCTCTATCAGTTTGAGAAGTTCCCCAAACCCAACGAAATAATAGCTTAGATCCCTTCTCTGCCCAGCCACCCCAGCCTGCCAACAATCTTGCTGTCTTTTTACTCCTTTGGTTCCAGACTATGTTCATTTCTCAACACTTATTGTGGCTGATTTATGTTCCTTAAACTTTGCTTCTTTCCCTTCATATAGATCCTGGTTCTTATCTATATGAACATAGACATAGTTATTATGTCCAGTTATTACTTTCTGACCCCATCCTCATAGATGACAACCAGCTGCATCCCAGTCCAAGGTGCCTCCCTCATTCCAGAGAAGAGCCTGGTGCTTATTGGTAGCAGCTGCCTCAGTTTCATCATTTGTGAAATGGGGAAATTACTACCTGTGCCACATACTTTAAAGAAGTTTTGTGAGGCTCAAATGAGATCAGAATGGCAAAGCACTTTATAACTCCTATGTGTCAGGCCTTATTATTAGAAGGAGATCTGTTCAGTTTTGAAAAGCCACAGAGAGAAAGGGGCTAAAAACTTGAGTACATTGAGGCCAAGAACTTGGGCTTCCACTAAAGCTCATGGAGTCAGACACAAAAACATGATGGCAGTATAGAATGTCCCTCAAACCAGAGTTTGGGGCAGTCAGAACAAAGGAAATGTCATTGTTTCCATTTCATAGCTCAGGAAATTACTTTCAAACACGGTTTCAAGCCAATGCTGGGGTGTTTCGTGTGCCATGTACATGTGATTCTGGCTTGGTGGGTAGAATGCTGAGTGTGATGGGATGTGTAAGGGGTGAAGTTAGTACAAGAACTTTGGAAGATAAGAGACATTCTTCTTTATTTCTTCTATAAGAGAGATACACATGATTCTAGGCTCTCTTCACAGAGAGACATGTGGAAAAAGAAATAAGGATTTTGGAAGTAGAAAACATGTAGGGGAATCTGACTCTTCAATCAAAGCCATTTCTTATTTTTCTTGTTACACTCAACATTCTCTCCACCACTCTGAAGTCATGTATACAAAGCAGGCAAAAATTTTCCAGACTTGGCTTATGTAACCTGGGTTACATAAGAAACAGTGGAAATGCAGACAGTCTAACAGTCTACTAACAAAGATGGCAGACCCCCAAGAATGCTTAGCTAAGGTGACAGAGTCACTCATACCATCTCCTACTGATTCCCTGGGACAGTCTCATCAGTAATATTGCAAACCTTTTCCTTCCTCCCTTTGGCTTTAATCTCACTGCCTTAAAAAGCTATGTAAATAGTAGCTATTATTGTTGGTAGTAATAATGTTAGTTTCAAAGAAATTACTTCAATCCTAGTGACTGAGCAGATCAAAAATCTCAGGCCCTAATCTGCAGTGCCTGTAAAAGACCCTAGAATGGGGGTGTACAAGTCCTGTCTCTACCCACCTGGCCTCACTGCTGCCTTAATTATGTATATTTGTCAGCAGCCACAACCTCAGGCTTCAGGGCTGTATTTTGATCAGGGAAAAACCTTGTTTTCTTCCTATAGTCTCCCTTTTCCAGTAAAGAATTTGTAGTTCTGGCCAATTACTTGAAGAACATATATTATAAGCAGCATAAATTAATACACAACAGAGCTCCAAGTACTTATCCCCAACTATACAGTTCGATAAATGTGCACATACCTCCTACATTGCATTTATTCCAGAACTGCATCCAGCTCACATTAGTGTATACCACTAACAGATTACATACCATATAACCAGCAGCACATTTACCAGCATGGCATACATTAAATTAAGGATGGAAATTTCAGTGCAATACACACAGGGGTATGCTGGTAAATGTTTAACAACCAACTCTATAAAAATGTACGCAAAACACACTTTTCATTTTAATCTGCTTTCTTCTTTATTAAAATTTTCTCCATCACTTCTTAAGTCTAGAAAATCAACAGAATAACCATTAAAGCCCTGATTTGTACTATTTGCTTGTTTATGAGGTGAATGCTCACACTGGAAATTTAACAATCATCTCTTGCAAGCTAGTACAAGCTAACTCTGGCACACCCCTGGATGCAGAGCACCCAGAATCACATCAGGAAGTTGTATGCAGTGATTGAGTACAGAAACATGCTACATGCACATATAGTAAGAGCCAACATATAACACTGGTTACTGGTATATCTAGCAAAGAAACATAACCCAGAAATAAAAGTATATTGCATAAAAAACATCTAGGGATGTCCAGGTTAGGCACTGGACCTTTGATTTTAGTGGTGCAGTGAAAAACTCCCTCTACTGATGATGGTTGGCACCTCCTATATAACTGATATAGTCTTAGAGAGTTGCCTATGGGCACTGAAAGTGATTTTTCCAGATTCCTAAAGGCCATGTGCATTGTGGATGAAACTCAAACCCAAGTCTTCCTGGTGCCAAGGCCAGCTTTCTAATCACTATGTCATGTTATGCTTTGCATAGCAAATAATTAAGGAGTATAAAACATGAGACAGCGTATACTGAAGTCACTTATGAAGCATATTATGTGCGCTCCAATAATGGGCACTGGTTAATTGCATGGATACCCACTTTTCCCATTTCTTCCAAAGCATCATCAGTAAGTTTGGTCATAAACTACAAACTGGTCACCTATACTGTGACTTAAAGTCATTGTATAGCTCACTGTACTATGAGCTGGTAGATGGCCCAGAATACCTGGTACAATTCTCAGACTTCCTGGCCTGTAATCTCAATCCTGAGCTGGTGGATGGCTCAGTCTGACCATTAATGTTTCCAGGCTCTATGGGTTCCTTCTGTTCTATAACTATTTCTATAATTGGAGTATTAGGTCAGAAAGAGGCAGCCTATGAGTTCAGCCTTCCCTCTCCCTCCCTACCTCCTTTGGCCCAAGTCTTAGCTCTCCCCTTAGACTATAAGCTCTTAGAAGACAAGACCAAAGCCATAGTCATCTCTGTGACTCCTGTGTCCCTGGATCAGGACCTTACACATGGTAGGGGTTCAAGACCCATTTCTTCAATGAACAAACAGCACATTTCTGCATGACATCTACTCACCCAGCTTCAGAGCCATTGCCGCAGAGTAGGTAATCCTTTGTGCCATTCTTGTACATCAAGTAATCTACATAACATGGAAAAGGAGATCAGGCCTTTGGGAAACTTCTGCACCCTCCCCCACTGACCACTTAAGAGCCAAAGAATTCAGATTCTCCAGAGAATCTTTGGGAATGAACTGGATGGTACATCAAAATGGCTATATAAATAATGCATCATTTGTGTATTTTTTGTTTGCATAGAGTCAACAAACTGAGATGTATGTAAAGTGCTTTGCCAACCAAGTGATATTGTTATTATCAGTGCAAAATGTTCAGGGTACATAATATTAGCAACTTCGTATAATGCAAAGAGGACTCAGTTTAGAGTCAGGAAAGACCTGGGTTCAAATTCTGGCTCTAACACTAGTGGAATGACCACAGACAAGACATTTAATCTCTCCAAGCTTCAATTTTGTCATCTGGAAAATGGGGACAAAAGCACTTGTTTTGTGTACCATATCAGGTTATTCTGAGGAATAAGCATGATAAACCTCAAAGCACTCTAGAAATGTGAGTTATCTGTATCATTGCAAGTTTGAAATCCACTCAGAAGGAGTGAGGATGAAGTATTAGCCGATGTGTTTGGACAGGATCAGGACCAGAGGCACAAAAAAGGAGGCTGGTGTTTGAGAACTTCAGATTGCCCAGGGGAAAGTGGAAGTGGGCAGCAGAAAGCTGAGGCCTGTAGATTTGTATAAAGATTTGTTTGTTTGAATTACAACCAAATGGGCTAACATATGCTTATGCACTATGCAGGAGCTGTCCAAGGTCGGCTAAGTGGGAGACCTGCATTTTGCCGCTTGTCCACAGGGAAATGGTGTCAATTGCTCTGTGAATGACCACGTCTATGCTAAATAGATGATAAAACAATGGGAAGGCATTTAGGCCACTCATCTGCAGCTTAGGGTCTAGGATCCTTTTTGTGGATGTGACACTAGCCCCCAAACAAGCCTCTTCTAGTCCCTTAGGCCTTGGACTGCTCTGTAGGAGTGAAAATAGAAAGTTTGGGCCTGAGATTCTCTTTCTTCTCATCTTTACCTCTGGCTTCCTAGGCATTCCTCAAGTCCCAGGTAAACTCTCACCATCTGCAAGAAGCTTTTCCTGATGCCCTTTAATGTTAGTGCTACCAATTCTGTGGATTACCTCCAATTTATCTTGTGTGTACCTACTGGTTTGAAGGTTGTCTCCCAACTGCCTTTCATCTTTCTTTGTACTCCCGCACATAATATAGAACCTGGCACAAGAGAGGAGTTTAATAAATGCTTGTTGACTGACTGACTGTTTGGAGCCTCTGAGCTGTTACCTGCTGGGTTTTTTTTTTCTTTTCTCCTTTGCCCTCCAGGACTTTTCATCTCTTCCATATGACACATCTTCCCAGCCCCTCCAAATGCTTCAGACACCTGGGCACCTGACTTTTCCTTGATATGTAGAATATAAGCTCCTTGAGGGCAGGGGCCATTCACCAGTGTCTAGCCAAGTGCCAGGCACATAGGAGGTACTTTAAATAAATGAATGAATGAATAAAAATGTGTACATTAGATGCTTTCTATGTATGAACACTTTATAAATGTTTGTTGACTGAACCTCCCTTGTTCAATCCCACCAGCTTCCCTGTGAAATGTAAGCCCAGATTGCTATCATTTCACAGTCCCATCCCTACCCTCTGCACTCCCCACCCCATCTGAACATTAGGCACTAGCTTGCCATTGGCAGGCTTCCCGATCTGGTCTGATGCATTGGAGCAGGGTCCCTATTATTGGGTTTTGACTTGAGGATGGATTTCACATATGCACCACCAACCAAGAATTAATTGTTCATTATGAAAATAATCTATATATAATCCATGCACACCCCCCCTCAAAAATAATCATCAATATTGAGTGAAAAGAAGGTCCAACACTGTTCAGCCTATTTAACTACTGGTTCCCAGGCAGGCTGGGATACATGTTGAAGATGAAGGTCCCTTCCAGCTTGGACATTCCAAGAGTCCAAGTCTATACATTTGGCCAGTACAGAACTTTCTAACTCAACAGACTGAAAGTTGATTTTAGCCTTGAGGATTGAGGTTTTTTATTTCAGCTCTACTAAAATGCTGTACATGCCCCTCATGAAACAAACCAGACCTGAAACTCTCAACTTCTCTATACTGCTCTGCGTACATAGTATGGTTTCCCTTCCCCTAGTTGAATGTAAGCTCTTGGAGGGAAGATGCCATTTTGTATCTATCTTTGTATCCTCATTTTCTAGCACAGTGCCAAGTTTATGGTTGGTACTTCAATTCAATTCAACTAGTCTTTATTAAAACCAGACTATGTGGCAGGATACTAAACTAGGCATTGGGCATACAAAGACGAACTCAATAATGCCTGATTGCAAGGAGTTTCCAATCTATGGGACATTTGTTGAATGGATGAATGAATGAAAGAAACAGTTATCCCTCTTCCTTCATGCCTGAGAGGAGCAGGAACCAGACTCTGCCCTTGATTCTCTTACTTCTCAGATTCTCCTTCCATTTGGTTGTCATGGAACATGGTATTTGAAGGCATCTGAGGTCTGGCTGCTGGAGGAAGACACTGTGGAGTTCTGGATTTGAACATCTGGGTTTAAAACCCCACTCTGCTATTGGCTTGTGACTTTAGGTAAGCTAATTCACATCTCTGGCCTCAGTTTCCTTGTCATGAAATGAAGGGGCTTTACATGATTTCTTCCAGACTGTTGCATTTAGAGATCTTCTAAGATGAGGAAAATGGGAGGGATGTGAACCCAGAAGAGTCAAGGAGAGGGTGTGCACTCTCATCATTTCAAATAGTTATTTTCCAGATAACAAAAGGGCCATTTTCAAAATTCATTCAATTTCAGAAGTTCATCTTCACTTGTCTCAATGTTCCACATTCCTCTCATTGCCATTTACCTTAAATTCATGACACAGTTGTCATAGATAATGAGAGAGAAAGTCCTTAGGACAAGTTCACAAGTTGAAAAGGAATTTTGCTCTTTGGGAGTATCCTTATTATACGGTCATAGAATGTCAGACCTAAAAGAGACCTCAGGGATCATCTAGTCTATCCCTCCCCCCACCCATTTTACAGAAGGAAATACTGAGGCCAGAAGAGATATAATGATATGTCTTTGGGCAGGACCATATTTAAGAATTTGGAGCCCTGGAGAAAGGGTTAGCAATGAGTAGAAGGAGCTCACCTGAAATATGGCCATGATGGTGGGTGAGGATGTAGGGAGAAATGTACCCAGATATACCAAGTGTTTTCTATACTGCTAAAGCACTGGTCATTACCAAGAAAGTGGAAGACATGGCCTCTGGAGGGAAGAAATTTCCTATGGGACAATACTGTAGGTTTCCTATAAATTTTGGCGAACTGGGCCAATGGTCTGGTTGTCCTACCCTAGTTATGGTTCTACCTATTCAGTGTTCTTTCCATCCCATTATTAGGCCTTATTTATGACATCATGGTAGTGTTTTAGCAATGCCAAGAGCAATGTAGTAAAATAAAGCACAAAGGGGCTTTCAAATGCATGGCAGATTTACCAAAGTCATTTTTGCAGAAATCCCATGTCTTGTTTTCACCATAAAGATCACTGGTCACGTTAAAAAATGTGCAGTTCTTAGTGCATTTGTGCCTGAGATTCCCCTTGAAGAGTTGCAAGGCCACAAGGGCAAAGACACTCAGGCAGAAGACTGTCAGCACCATCACATCTGCTAGCTTCTTCACAGAGTGGATCAGGGCACCCACGATGACCTTTAAGCCTGGAGAGATCAAGGAACAACACCTTAGAGGCCCCAGAGCAGATAGAAAGCCCAGGCCTTTCAACATGAAAATTGCATGAAGTGCTTCCAGTCTGTAACTAGGGTGGGATGACTGAGTGATTCCTCAGGTGGCTGAAATTTAGAGGGGGCTGCCAGCACTTCCTCCTTCCTTCCCGCCAGTGACAGGAGGGAGCATAGCACATAAGGAGCAAAAATAGTCAGTGAAAATAAGAAGCCACTGGGTGGTATACTCTTAGAGGCTATGCCTAGGTCAGCCTGCTCCAGGCCACCCTGGGGCAGCATCTCACATTCCAGGGTCTCTCCATGCCAAGGTGTTTTTGATCCTGGGGTCTCTCACCCTCCTGATGCTTCTTGCTGCTTGCTGTAAGCCCATTTTGGGACACATGTTGCAAGCATCAAGATGGCTCAGTCTGGGGGTATGTATGTGCTTCATACAATTATCTGAACAATATTAACTCCTTCCACATCCCAGGTTTCTGGTCCAAAGCCAGGAGGGGTGTTTGCTGAAAGAATGCATGCAGATAATCCCATTTCTTTCACTTTTACTTCAATCTCTCCTAATGACCTCAATCAATCAATTAATCAATCAGCACACCTCTGTTTGGTTCCTATTATGGGCCTCCTTTCTCATTGTCAAAACGAGCACTGATTTGCCTGCAATTTGCATAAGATCCCAGCATCTACAGTGAGTCACAGAGAACACCCATATAGCAAAAGATTGGTATTTATTCCATTTTTTTCCCCTTCAATGAACTTAATCACTCTCTGCTAATGGGAGAAACAGTTTGGCACAGAACCCTGAGCTGGAAGCTGGTAACCTTGGCCACTTACCAACTGCCTGGCCTTGGACAATGACTCATCTGGAAAATTAAATACTTGGACTGGCTCAGTGGTTCTTAACCTGGGGTCTATGAACTTGTTTTCTTATTTAAAAATTTTCCATAACTGTATTTTAATAAAATTTGTTTCCTTTGTAATCCTCTGTATTTTATTTTGTGAATTTGAAAACATTATTCTGACTATCAGAGGTGTCTATGACACAAAAAAGGTTAAGAACTCCTTAAGTAGATGATCGCTAGGGTACACTGAAACTCACACCTTCTCTGGTCCTATAGAAAGTAGGAGGCAATGGTGATCCATGATCCCAGAACCCAGAGAAAAGAGTGGGGAATTTCAGATCAAGCTTTGGTCTCAGAGCTCTGCTTTGTCTCTGGAATATTGAGGCTGTCCTCACTGATGGGGGCTTTTCTGTGTCTGGACCCTGAGGCTCCTAAGTCTCATGAATAAGATTGCCAAAGGAGCTGTAATTTATTGTCATTTGGCCAAAATAGCAGTTGTGTTTTATCAGGAAGGTCACATTGACACTTAAGCCCTGGCCAAGACCATGCATTGCTGGAAAACCCACAGGCCATTGGCAGCTCAAGAGCCAAAGTCTTTGTATCTTGTGATCCATCCGTAGAACCCCCCATCAAGGTAAATAATCATAAGAAAAACCTTGTGGGAGCAGGGTGAGATACACATCATCTCCTGAGCAGTTGAGGCTGTTTTCATGGCCTACAGAGGATGAGCTTACAGATCATTGTTTTTATCCAAATACAAAAAAAACAATAATGACAAAAAATACCCCCACACTTATTTTAACCACTTGTGCAAAGACCATTAAGTAGGAAAGCATGAAGGCAGGAGGGAAACTTGTCCCAGGACCATTTCTATATGAACTCCATTGATGACAATGGAAGAATGAGCTAATGATAAGGATAGTGGCAAAGATATACAACAATAACAACAACAGGTGTTAATACAGTGTTTTAAAGAGGTGGCATGCTTCTCTCCCAGAATCCCACCTAAACCTCATAACAACCCTGATAAATAAATATTGCAAATAAGGAAACTGAGGCTCAGCCTTGCTCAGGGTCTCACAGCTATTAAGTGTCAGAGTCAGATCTCCATCCTGTCTTCCTTACTCCAAGACCAGGGCTTTGTCCACTGTGCCCTGATGCCTTTGAGAAAAGGAAGTTTTAACTTGCAGCCCCAGCAGCAAGCAGTCATCAGGAAGATGGTTCCGTCCAGCTCTAACTCTATGTTGACAATTCTGATACATTTGGGCAGGCTGGCCTGACACAGGGAATGGGCATTGAAACCACCCTGAGAAGAAGGAAGTGCCTGGATGAGGGCAGGCCTCATCACAGCCCCCTCTCCCTAGCCCCCAACTAACCCTTGCCTGACTCCCAGACTGTTCAGGGTAGAAGGTGATTAAGTGTAAGTGAGCTGTCAGTTTCCTTTGGATACCTAGATGCGTGCCTGACAAGAAGTTCCATCTCCTTACCTGGGATCACTGAAACTGTTTTCAGAGCCCGGAACACTCTGAAAGTTCTTAGAGCTGAAACCCCACGTAGGTCTGTAACTTCAGCAATGTACCTACCAGATTAGAGCAATCAGTCAGTCAATAAACATTTATTCAATGGTTATTATGTACCAGAAAAGGCAAAAACAGTCCCTGCCCTCAAAGAGCTCATGGCGGGGAGAGACAACGTGCAAACAGCTATACGCTGGAGATATGCACAGAATAGATGAATAGGTAGATAGCCTTAGAGAAGTTTGGGCATCTGGAGGAGACTGGGAAAGGTCTTCTATAGAAGGCAGTGTTTGACCTTAGCTAGAAGCAAGTGTGGGATGTCAGGAGGTCAAGGAGAGAAGGGAGAGCCTTTTAGACATAGGGGCAACAGCTCACACCAAGGAGACTGGAGAGGGAGTGTCATGTGTGAGGACCAGCAGGGGGTCTAGAATGTTTTGGATTGCAGAATTTGTGGAGGGGAATAAAGTGTAAGAAGATTGGAAATGGAAGAAGGGGCCAGGTTGGGAAGGGTTTTAAATGCCGAACAGAAGACTTTCTTTTTGATGCTGGAGGCAAGAGGATGCCATTAGAGTTTATTGAGAAAGGGGGTGACATGGTTAGACCTGGGCTTTAGGAAGATCACTTTGTAGCTGATGGGAGGTTGGACTAGAGTGGGGAGAGACTGGAGGCATGGTCTCTAAGCAGAAGGCCCTGCTATGGTCTAAGGGACAGATGATGGGAATCTCCTAGAACCGTGACTGTGTGATGGAAGGAGAGGCGTTGTGAAGGTAGAAATGACGAGCTTTGGCAATGAGCTGGATTTATGGGGTGTCAGAATGCTGTAGAAGAGAACATGTTCCAAGAGAAGGAATGTGAATCTGATTTAAGATATCCCAGGAATGTCCATGCTGCCCTCTCTGCTCTCCAGACCTTGACCGATGCTGTCTGTCTTGACTCTTACCCTCACAGGAGCCTCCTCCTTGCTCTCTTGCTCCCATCTCCCCCCTCCCCAGACCATCCCCCACACAACTGCCAAATGGATAACCTGAACAACAGATAACCACAACACTCACCTGCTTAAGAGGCTTCTGCGGCTCCTGCCTGCCTCTTATTTAAACACAGATGTCTGTTTAGTTTTTGTCTTTGTGTCCCCAAGGACACAAAATGTACAGTGTCTGGCACAGCGTTGGTGATTAATAAATGCTTGTTGAAATGGAATTTGATATGAGGAAGGATAAGAAGGGAACAAGTGTTTATTAAGCACCTACTATGTGCCAGTTGTACTAATGTTATCTTATTTAGTTTAGTTCATTTAGTCAAATGAATGGGGATTGAGCCCCTGGTACCTTTTTCACTGCTAATTCCCAGGAACTTATTCAACATCCATTGCAATGTTAAGTGCTAGGGTATTCTCTTGACCCAGGTGCTTGCAGATCCTCTTGACCCACCCTTGGAAGACTGGATTTTTATGACTGTTGGATCCCATCTTTGCTTCTATCCTCCAGTAGACCCATGTAATCACCCAGGTGGCAAACTACTTCCCTACCTTCTCATCTTGTGTGGTTTCTGATGACAGCCACAGGATGGAATAAGAAGAAAATAATGCTGGATTTGCGTGTGGGGATCTGGATTCAAATTCTGGCTCTACTACTCACTACCTGAGTGACCTTGGGCCCTGGGCCAAGGTCTCATCTGTAAAATGAAGTGTCATACTCCGAGCCCTATTAGTCCCTTCCAGTTTTGGGTCTTTGATCTTATGACCCTATCACAGACTTCAGTTTTTGTTTTTAGATTCAGGACTGGGATTACATTGGTAAGAGGGGCACTCCTGGTGCAAAAGAAGTCCTCCATAACGTATTGTTTTAGGGAGTTGCCTGGGGCACAGAGGGCTTAAATAACTTGCCTAGGGTCACATAGCTAGTCTGCACCAAAGGAAGAGTATGGTCCCTTCTTTACTCCAAGGCACAAGATGCCATACTATCTCTTTCCCACAAACCACCATCAAACCTTTAACTTCTCCCAACACACTCTCTTTGTCCCATTCCCTCTCTTTATCATGTCCTTTGTTCCATCATTTTCATTCATGTCTGACTCTTTATGATCCCATTTGGGGTTTTCTTGGCCTACTGAAATGGTTGTCACTTCCTTCTCCAGCTCATTTTACAGTTGAGAAAACTGAGGCAAAGAGGGTTAAGTGACTTGCCCAAAATCACACAGCTAGTAAGAGTCTGAAGTCAGATTTGAATTCAGGTCTTCCTGACTCCAGGCCTGGCTCTCTATTTCTTGAGCCACCTATCTGCCCTTTGTTATGCCCAGGGCAGCCTTTTTTTTTTAATGGAAAAAACTAAATCCTACTACAGTGACCACACTAGAATGACTTGAGCCCAGGAGGCAAGAAAGAAGGCCTAGTCACTTTAATAGAATTTGAAAATGAGAGAATTTTTCAACAAAAAAGAATATATTTAGTACCTGTTGTGGGCCAGGCACTTTGCAAAGCCTTGGGGTTACAATGACAAAAATGGAATAATCTCCATCCTCAAAGAGCTTAATTCTCTCCCCAAAGTTTTGGTCCTATAAGTTCACAGGTGTTCACATATGCTCATATACATATGTACATTCATAAGAATTACTTACGCCAGGGAAATAACACTAAAATCCAGCCAATTCCATGGATCTCGAAGGTAGGTGAATTCATTCAGACAAAATCCTCGGGCCAATATTTTTATTAAGGATTCAAATGTGTAAATACCTGTGAAAACATACCTATAGAAGCAGAGAAATGCAGGGGTATTAGTCACAATAGAGGAAGGTTCTGGATGCTTCTCCAATTGGTAGAAAGTAACTGATCTGTTCTTTTTTTCCTCTTTCTTTTTAATTGTTTAATCTTTAGGGATGAGTTGCTGGTAAAGGGAGAAAAGAAGAACATATTTGAAAATGGATATTTTCTAAAAGCAAAAGATTTCAATAAAAATAAGATTTTTAGAAAATAAATTAGAAGGCAGAGCCAAGATGGCAGAGTAGAGGAAACACTCAGCTGAGCTCTCCCAATATTCTAAACCACTTTAAAACAATGCCTCAAATCAAGTTCTGCACTGGCAGAGCCAACAAAAGGTCAGAGTGAGACCTTGTTCCAGCCCAACACAACTTAGGAGGTCAGAAGGAGAGATCTGTGACCGAGGGGTAGAAGCTGGCCCAGGGCAGATGTGGATACAACAACAATGGTGGGACTAAGTGGTGGTGACAGAAGCAACAGCAGCTTCAGGAGCTCTCAAGCCAGAGATAGTAAGGGGACCTGGCAACTGCTCAGAAAGAGATTACAGGGGACCCCTGTACTAACACTGGATGCAGGACTATAAGCTGTTTGGCATTCCATTGCCTATACCCACTTCTGGGTCAAGTTCAAGGGAGAAGAGGCTCTGAGAATCAGTATCACTTCCAGTCCCAAGGGAGCAGAGGCCCTTCCTGGGCAGAGACCAAGAGAGCAAGGGCCACACCTCTCCCCAGATCACACCACTTTGGAATCACTGAAAATTTCCAAATCTACAGAACTAGCTCTGAAAACAGCAATGCAGAAAAAATCCAAAGCTTGTGACATCCCCCCTACAGGGAACAGAGTCCAACTTGAACATAAATTCAAAGTCAAGAAACAGGCTGGAAAAATAAGCAAACAATAACAACAAAAAAGAATCTGACCATAAAAATCTACTATGATGACAGGGAAGATCAAGACACGAACTCAGAAGAAGATAATGAAGTCAAAATAGCTACAAGAAAAACCTTAAAGAAAAATGGGAATTGGACACAAACCCAACAAGAATTACTGGAAGAGCTAAAAAAGTATTTTAAAAATAAACTAAGAGTGGTAGAAAAAAATACATAAAGAAATAAGAGCAAGGAAAAAAATATGAAAAGACAACAGCTTGGTAAAAGAGGCACAAAAAATACTGAAGAAAATAACACTTCAAAAAAGAAGAATTTGACAAATGGAAAACAGTGTACAAAAACCACTGATAAAAATAACTCCTTAAAAATTAGAATTGGGTAAGTGGTCAATAATGACTCCATGAGACATCAAGAAACAATAAAATAAAGTTTAAAGAACAAAAAAAAAGAAGAAAGTGTCAATTATCTCATCACAAAAACAACTGACCTGGAAAATAGATGAAAGAGAGATAAGTCATGATTAAAGAAAGAGCCTAGATATCATATTTCAAGAAATTATAAAGGAAAACTGACCTGATATTCTAGAACCAAAGGATGAAATAGAAATTGAAAGAATCTACCAAAGAGATCCCAAAATGAAAACTCCCAGAAAAATTATAGCCAAATTCTAGAGTTCCCACATCAAAAAAGAAAATAATATAAGCATCCAGAAAGAAACAATTCAAATACTGTGAGCCATAGTAAGGATCACACAAGATTTAGCAGCTACCATGTTAAAGGAGTAGAGGGCTTAGAATATGACATGCCAGAAAGCAAAAGAGTTAGGATTATAATCAAGAATAACATACCCAGCAAAACTGAGTATAATCCTTCAAGGGAAAAATTGGATATTTAATGAAATAGAGAACTACAAGCATCTTCTTGATGAAAAGACCAGTACTGAATAGAAAATTTGACATTCAAAGAAAAGACTCAAGAGAAGCATAAAAAGTTAAACATGAAAGAGAAATATTAAGGAATTCAATATGGTTAAACTGTTTACATTCTTGTATTGGAAGATGATACACCTAACCTTTAAGAACTTTATTATTATTAGGGCAGTTGAAGGATTCTACATAGAGGGCACAGGAGTAAGTCATTCATATGTGTGTGTATACATACATACATATATGTACACACATATACATACATATAAATATGTGTAAGTGAGAGAGAAAGAGAGAGAGAGAGGGAGTGAGAGAGAGAGGGAGAGAGAGAGAGAGAGAGAGAGAGAGAGGGAGGAAGAGAAAGAGAGAGAGGGAGAGATGCCCTGGGAGAAAGGGGGAAGGGAGAGAAAGAATAGAAAAAAAATCTCACATAAAAGAGGTACTCAAGGAAGAGCTTTTACAGTGGAGGGTAAAGTGGTGTGAGGGTGGTAGGCAACACTCATTTAAATTGGTTCAAAGGGGGAAATCAGATAGATAAAAATATACATACATACATATATACACACTCAATTGGGTATAGAAATCTATCTTACTCTTCAGAGAAGTAGGAGAAAGGGAGGAGATAAAGACAGGGTGGATAAAGAAAGGCTGTAGTCTGTAACAAAACAGACTTTATAGGAAGGACAGGATAAACAGAGAAAGAGAAAGATAAACAGAATAAAATGGGTTGGAAGGAAATGCAGAGTTAGTAATGACAACTGAGTGTGAATGGGATGCACTCACCTATGATGTTTAAATAGCTGAATTAGAAACTAGAATCCAACAATATGTTGTTTAGAAGAAACACACTTGAAATAGAGACACACAGAATTAAAATCAAGTGCTGGAGCAGAATCTATTGTGTTTCAGTTGAATTAAAAAAGGCAGGGGTAGCAATCATGATCTCAGTCAAAGCAAAAACAAAAATAGACCTAATTAAGGTCTATATATTTAAGATATATGTTTTTACATATTATACATGTAATATATATTAAGATAAGCAGGGAAACTGCATCTTGATTAAAGGGCACCATGGACAATGAAGTAACATCAGTACCAAATATATATGTGTATATATATATATATGTGTGTGTGTGTGTGTGTGTGTGTATATATATATAAATACACACACACACACACACACACACACACACATACACACACACATACACCAAATGGTACAGCATCCAAATTCTTAAAAGAAAAGTTAAATGAATTAGAGGAGGAAATAGTAAAGTTATATTAGTGGGGAACCTCAACTCCCCTTTCAGAGCTAGATAAATGTAAGCATAAAATAAAAAAAGATGTTAAAGAGACGATTAGAATCTTAGAAAAATTAGAGATTAAAGCATAATATTTGCTATTTTTTTCTTCTGTTTTGTTTTGTTTCCTCTTTCTGGTGGTTCCTCCTATTGGTTCTAACTCTTCCTTACAACATCATTAATGTGAAAATATGTTTAATAGGAATGTATATATATATATATATATATATATAGCTTATGTCAGATTGCATGCCATCTTGAGGAAGGGGGGAGGGAAGAGGAGAAAAATTTAAAACTCAAAAGCTTATGTAAATGATTGTTGATAAATCAAAATAAATAAATAAATAAATTTTAAAAAGAAAAATTAGGTATGATAGACATAGAAAAGAGTATACCTTTTCTCACCAATATATTGCACCTTCACAAAAAATGATTATGTATTAGAGCATAAAAACACAATTACAGGTAGAAAAGCAGAAATATTAAATGGATCCTTTTCAGATCAAAATGCAGTAAAAAATTGTGTTCAATAAAGGGCAGTGGAAGCATAAGTTTAAAATGAACTGGAAAGTAAATAATCTAATGCTAAAGAATGAGTGGGTCAAAGAACAAATCATACAATCAATCAATAATTTCATTAAAGAGAATGATAACAATGAGACAACATATCAAAATTTATGGGTTTCAGCCAATGCAGTACTTAGGGGAAATTTTATATCTCTAAATGTGTACATCAATAAAAAGAGAGAGAGAGAGAGCAAATCAGAATGCAACTGGAAAAAAAACTAAATAAAGAATAAATTAAGAATCTCTAATATGAGAAATTATTATTAATAAGTAATCATTTGGGGAGATTAAGTGCTCTTCTCTTCTTCCAAAGTCCTGATGTTAAAATTGCAGTCTCTTGAAAGACATTTTTGATAATGAGATTGAATTAATTCTCCTCAGTCTTGGTCAGATCACACCCAATCTTACAAGAAATTTAATCTAAAGTGGGGAAGCCCATTGTGTTCTACTCAGACTTGGGTGGAGACAGATCCGTTTGTCTAGATAGTCCAAGGTGAGGGTAGTTTGAGTATAGAGATTGTTTCTGTGCCCAAGGGTAACATGACATCATTCTCATCACCTCTTTGTACACCTACTCTTCCAAAGGTATATAAACTGTGAGCCCACCACCACAATTGTCTTTGGTATAAGAGAAATGGCCAAATGATCTCTGTTTTATTAATAAGGTGCTGGTCTTATTAATAAAATGATTAAATTACTTAGAAACTATGTCTCTCAAAACTTTTTAATTGCCCCACCAATTCAATACCACATTGAAAATCCTGAAAATCAAAGGAGAGATTAATAAAAGTGAAAGTTAAAAAAAAATTTAACTAATAAAACCAGGAGCTGGTTTTATGGGGGAAAAAAACAACAAAAAAAAACCAAACCATTGGCTAATTTGATTTAAAAAAGAAAGAAGAAAACCAAATTACCAACATCAAAAATTAAAAGGGTTAATGCACCACCAATGAAGATGAAATTAAAGCAATTATTAGGAGTTATTTTGTCCAATTATATGCTAGTACAACTGATGAGGATGGGATCTGTACCCCAAAAAAGAAAAACCCTGGACTTTCCCACATGGCCAAATCTCTGAGGTTATAATCCTATCAACTAGCCTTTCATTGTGGCTAAACCCAATCTCCCAGTTCTGTTCTGATACCTCCCAATTGCCCCTGGCCACTTCCCACCTTTAATCCTATCTAAACTCCATTCTCTCTTGGTCCAGGAGACCATGTGGTCCAGGTCCCTGACATTCTGTTCACCCCAGTTTACTGGCCACTCCCATTCAGATCTTCCCTTAGGCCCCTCCTCCAGTCTCTCC